CATCCATCCATCCACCCATCCATCCATCCAACCATCCACCTATCCATCTGTCCACCCATCCATCCATCCATCCATCCAACCATCCATCAATCCATCCAACCATCCACCCATCTATCTATCCAACTGTCCATCCATCTGTCCATCCACCTGTCCGTCCATCCATCCATCCATATGACCACACACCGATCATCCTTCCTTCTGTCTGTCCACTGCCCCAGAGCTCCCAACATCCTGTCTGAAGCCAGTTTGTCCTGTCCCTGCCAGTACCGTGCCTTGGGGATGAGGGCCCCCTTAGGATGGAGACTCACATTTCTGTTGCCACCTCTCCCCTGTCTTCCCCAGGCCTTTGTGTCCCTACTCCTGCCCACCTCCTGAGGGGATCCCGCGAGGCACGGGCCACATTCTTCTTATGATCACAGCTGGGTGGGTGATAGGGAAAGCCCTAAGGGCAGAAAGACCTGGGTTCATGCCCTTACTCAGTGTCCCCAGCCATAAACGAGGCATGTGCCAACCCAAGGCACCTGGTGTCAGCAAGATGACGGCTCAGGACAGCACGAAGTCAGGCATGTGGCAGCGCCTGGAGAGAGGCTGGTGGTTATAGGGGCTGATCAAAGTCATGCCTTCTCTGTGGAACCACGTCTTTGTGAATGAGGAAGAAGGCGGAGGTGTCCCAGAAATGTCGCATTCAGAGCAAAAGCTGATTCCTGAGCCTCGGACCTCAGGGTAGGAGCAGAGTCTGGGGTGGCGTCAGTGGTCGGGTTCCTAACTATGCCTGCCCCCCCAGGCACACACGCGTGCACACACATACATATTTGGCCCAGCCTCCCAGCCCTTCCCTGTGTCCCACTGTGTCCCCTGACCCCACCCTGATGCCTGGCCAGTCTGCACCCTGCACCCCTTTGTATTTGGTTTTATTTTTGGAGAGGTTTTTGCTATAGGGCGTGCACTCGCCAGACAGACAGAGAGAGACAGAGAGACAGAAAACGAGAAATCACCCCCCGGGGGGATGGTCACGCTGCAATCCCTTCTCCTCCATTCTCCTCTCGGGATCTTGGGCACGCACGCACATGCGCCCGGTGTGAGGTTAAGCCACCGGGTCTGGGACACGAACCGTGGTCGACTACACGGGAGTCCAGCGACATAGCCATTATGCTAACTGCTGGTCCCTGTTTTTTTTTTTTTTTATTTTTTTTTAAGAGATTTCTTTGCCTTAGGGCACATGCCCTCACTGGAGAGAGAGAGAGAGAGAGAGACAGAGACAGTGAGAGGGAAAGTGAGAAATCACCTCCCAAGAGGGATGGCCATGCTGTAACCCCTTCTCCTCCATTCTCCTCCCAGGATCTTGGGCACGCACGTGATGTGATTTTGAAACCACTGGTTCCGGGACTTGAACCTTGGTCAGCCATGGGGAAGTTCAGTGGAGTTCAACTGCTACGATGTCTGCTGATCTCCCCACCCTTTTCAAAGTCCCTCCCCATGGTGAAGGAGCTGCTGTGAGCAGGGAGCCCCACTCTGGAGCACCCACACAGGAAGGTCTGGCACAGGCTCAGAGCAACCTGAAATCTTCCCATAGCTGCCGTGGCCCCCAGAGATGGCCTCCCCTGCAAGGCCGGGCCCTGCCTGCCTGCCTGCCTGCGCTCTCTCTCTTTTTTTTTTTTTTTTTTTGAGAAGTTTTTCACTATAGGGCGCGTGCGCTCGCCAGACAGAGAGAGGCATAGAGACAG